AAAAAAAAAAAAAAGTGCATATTCAATAGCCCTCTTTTTCCTGCATCAATAGCCACATTAACTAGTACCCATGTTACCTGGCAAGATGGAATTAAATACACATAGGACCAGGACGCGAGCGCTGAAGGGCTCCTGTTTGATATTCCGAAACAAGGGGGTGCAGAGCCTTTCAAAGATGTAGTACATATAAAAAAGGCAACCAAAAACCTGGAAAATAAAAGGACATACTAATCATGGCTTGATAAGGAAAGACAGGGATTTTTTTCCTTCAATAGAAGGGAAATGTGACCCTCAGACTGATGTTTCCATCTATGTTCCATTTAATGCTACTACATAAAGTTGCCAACCTACAATCCTTCACAGATATTACTCAAGCCTAGTTTCTATCATACCTTCTCTCAAGCCTTTACCAAATTACATACCAAACCCTTGGAACCTGCTTATCCTGCTACATAAAACCCAGAACAGAAGAACTTACTTCATAAATGGGTATCTGGTTGAGATAAGATTTTAAAATGGAAACTTCTGGGATTTATGATTCTTATCATTCAACCTATACCCACACATATATTTCCCAAAATAAAAAACCATAAGGGGAGGGAGAAATAAATGTAAAGGCTTACTAAAGTTACCAAATGAAATGACTTAATTAAAATAAATTCTTTTACGGAAAGAAATGACTTTTGATGTTGACAAAACAAATACCATTTACTGTACTGGTAACATTTTAAAAGACTTCAAAAAGCGTTCTAGAGTCCCCAGATGACAAGAATTTACCAACAGCTTCAATAGATTAAATTAGTATTATAAATTTGAATCCCCATCTCCCACCAATCAACAAACCTCAGGTGGTTAAAGAAAAAATTCACCTGTAAAAACTGCATAGCGACATAACCCCATCTTACAGTGGGAGTCCTAAAAAGGAAGAAACAAAGTAAGTTTTCTAAAGAAAGCTAATGAACACAGAACATCATTTCTGGCATAGGAAATGCCTGTATAAATCTGTCCAGAATTACTGCAATCGAATCGGATTGCCAGAATCACCATTTGGGGCTTTCCCATGCCAGCGTGAGAATTAAAACTCATCCTATACTCTTTATAACCCTATATGAACTGGCCCCTGCCTACTATCCCACCTCACTCAGGCTACACTTCTGGTGCTCAACACTCTTCGAACCTCACGCTACCATTACCTGGGATAGTTGTCACGGTAGATGAGGGTAGGAGCAAACAGGAAGTACAGATACTGGTTGACTGTGGGTACTGGAACAATCTCTGGAAAAGGAAAACTGTGGTTAGATCAGACACTCTTCAACTTCTCCTGGCAAAACTAAAAGGGAGAAGAAAGCACACACTAGGGAAGAATAAAATGACTTCTCTTAGCCCACGTCACTTCTTCCTGATCTCCCCAGATGAAGACTTCTTATTCTTATACGGATTCAATATTACCGATCTGTCTAAACTAAGTTATTCCTGTGACTTAGAAATACCTTCTAGAGTTTGAAGCAGCAATTCAAAGGGAAGCACACGTGGGTGTAATGAGTCTATTAACATCCTATAAAAATAAGACCAAGTGTAAGAGGCTGGTGATCAATGTTTTTCAATTGTAGGTACGAAGGCAAAATGGGAACAATCAGGAAACAGTAAGACAGTCTTCCAAATCAGTATGGATCCTACATATCTGAAATCGAACATAACGTCTACAGAATGTAATAAGCCATCCCACTAAATACCAAAGGTTGAAATATTCTATTGAATAATCCTTGACCTAATGAAATTACATACTTGATTTCTCCTTAGCTGAATTTAGTACCCGAGGCACATTCTCTCTGACAAATGAATAGGCCTTCATTATGAAACGAATCTACAAAAGGAGGGGGGGGGAAAAGATGAATTTTCTACCATCGTCTTGTCTCCATAAGCAACCCCAGAACATCACTAGATTGTAATCATATAAAGAACTTCTTAATTTTGCATACACCACCTCAAGTTCACTTTTATGGAATAAAACAAATGAAAAACAAACTCTAAGGAAGGACATGTTATTACTCAAATTATTTTGCACCTAACAGCATTATCTATTACAACCGTATTACGGTAAGAAACAAAAAACCTATTCAAAGTTTCCTGAAATAGTCCTTCCCATTAGTCACACAGAACATTACAGACAGCCAATGTAAGTCAGAAAATTCTAAAGGGTGTATGAACAAAATAAATCCTTTATTCAGATGGGAACCGTTTATATGACAGAACAATGAATCGGACACCTCAAAGGTAGAGTTTTAAATTACAAAAATATTTTATACTTTAAATGATTTCTACACGTGTTCAAGAACAAAATTTGAATTCACCCAGCACAGTTCAATATAATTACCAAGAATCAGAGGATACTGAAACTAGTATGAATTTTAAGATAGGAGATGATCTAGTTTACCACTTTAATTTTATACACAATAGCACAAAGAACCAGATAGAAAGATGTATCCAACTAATACAACTAAAAATAACAGAACATCAGTATTATTTTAACTAAGTTAAAATAACTAAGTTGCACTGCACTGGGCAACATTCAAAACCTTACCTGTTCAAGTATGACAATGCTCCGGGAAGCTGGTGGGAGCGTGTAAGCTAATGCAACATATGTTGGTCCCAAACCTAGAACTCCTATCAGGAAGACCATGAAAAGGAAGCCATGGATGAGACAATGGACCACTGGATGAGAACTCCGGCTGTAGCCTCTAGCCCAATGTTGAAAGAGGAAATAGGGAATTGAAAGTGTACTCAAGAACATGGTCCACCACGTCCACATGGCAATAGGAAATTTGCCAAAAGCGTAAGACATGAGATTGAACTCAAGCACCAGCCTAGGGAGAAGAAGCACAGAGAAAAAACACAAATTTTTAATGTGCGTTGACTCACAGAATCCCAAACTTTCAGACCTAAAACTCTGAACCTTAGGAAACACAACAACGTTAATCTACTCTAGTTGTGGAGGTAAGAGCTGTGCTAGAGAGAGAACTGCTCCAAAGCCTCTGCTTCACAATGTATCCCAACAACAAATTTTCTAAAAGCCCTAACATGATATAGTTTTTGAACATAAGGTACCCAAGATAACCTAAAAGAATAAAACTTTAAACTTCTTGTGATTAGATTCTAACATTCATAAATTTTCAGTTCTAAGATATTATAAAGTTAATATCTAAAGTATTGTAATAGCAATCACTGTTACATCCAAAAGATGATTTTTAAGAATAGGAATAATTCAAAACTCTACTAATATACTATTAAACAATTATGTCAAAATGTGACTTTCTAATAATGCACATAATTCAATGTATGATTACCACCCTATCATTTTTAAAGTTACAATTTCATTCTTACATTAAAAAGAAATGTTTTTCAAGCATAATTCCAATAAGCTACTTATTTTTAGTAACAACCTGAAACGCATACCATCGTAGAAAATTGATAAACTGTATATACAAAATTTTCCCATTTAGGAAAATTATTTAGAAACTGCTAAAATGTACTAAAAAAGACCATTTGAAAAATAAAACTAATGAAACTTCCAATATTCCATTTAGTTGTGCTCTTGAGAGAGAGGAATCTCATCCTCCAGTGAGCTGCTCTGGGATTTCCTGAAGCAAACTTAACCAAATCACCAAAATTTACCAAAATTTAAACGTCACAAAAGCTCCCAACACCCCATGCAGGAACTAGCCAAACATTCGTTTTCTTGCCTTACCTTCCTTCATCAATGTAATCTACTACGAGTGTGCTGAGGATAAAGAGAATGAGCAGGGCAATAAACATGTGATATATTGTTCTGATGTGGTCCACCTCAAACAGCTCGCTGTAAATGCAGTTCAAACCAATAAATTAATTATCTATATTTAATTTTAAAACACCACATATTAAACACTTAAGGCAGTTCAGCAGGGGTTTAATCTACCCTTGAATAGTAATCATGAGCAAACATCTCCAGTAGTAATCACAGAATATTAAATCTGAAGCAGAGATAGTCAATGACATGACCAAGGTAAAAACTTAATGTAAAAGCTTAGCATAAAGTTCTTTCTAATAAAATGATACTGCCTTCTAGAAATAGCATGGATATCAAACATTTAAAACAAATGATGGGCATTCTTGAAAACCTGCCAGAAGTGGCTGTTTTGTAAGTAGGCAAAAGGCAATGAAAACACAAAAGCTATTCCAAAGATTACAAGTTTTTTTTTTAATCTTATTCTTACATTCCACTCTCTACACTTAACTTACATTAGGTGCTATCTATTTCCAACATGTTAAGATTCACATACATGTGGGGAGCCTGGGTGGCTCAGTCTGTTGAGCGTCCAACTTTGGCTCAGGTTGTGATCTCACCATTTGTGAGTTCGAGCCCCACATGTGGCTCGCTGCTGTCATGCAGAGACTGCTTTGGATCCTCTGTCCCCCTCTCTCACTGCCCCTTCCCTGCTTGCACTCTCTCTCTCTCTCTCTCTCTCTCTCAAACATTTTTAAAAAACATAAAAAAATTCATATGTATGCATTTCTATAACGATGATAATCAACCACTACCCTACATATCTATAAACTTAACCATTTACAAATGCTTTTATTTTCTATCCTCATTGATCTTTTCATTTAAGATAGGGCTACTTTTAAAATACAGCAATGACTTTCTAGATGACACCTTCTTAAATAGGTATTTTTTATATTTGACTAAAACAAGTTTGTTTAGCTTTGTTTTTGCAAAGATGTGTGCTCATCATCTAAATAACTTTTCGATGATATTTTAGATTGCCCTGGATTAGGAATCTTCAAATTCTAATAAAAACCCACCTGAGCCATAAAATATTTATTTCCTTGGTTACAAAAATGTTTTATAAGGGCACCTGGGTTGCTCAGTCGGTTGGGCGTCAGACCTCGGCTCAGGTCATGATCTCACAGTCTGTGAGTTCGAGACCCGCGTCAGGCCCTGTGCTGACAGCTCAGAGCCTGGAGCCTGCTTCAGATTCTGTGTCTCCCTCTCCCTCTGCCCCTCCCCAACTCACACTCTCTCTCTCAAAAATAAATAAACTTAAAGAAAAATGTTTTATAATTATCGGATACTTGAATTTTATTTTTTTATATACACAATTCTATCATTAAAACCTTCATTACAATGTCAAAATCATTTATTTTCCCTTTTATGTGAAAAGCCTGCATTTCCCCCCAGACACAGATTTTAAAAGATAAATTTCTTCAAAAAACAGTGTGGCAAATACTGAAACTGTATTCTATATAACATAACAGGTCCAGAAAACTGGCCTTCTTGGGGTGCCTAGATGGCTCAGTTGGTTAGGTGTACGACTTTGGCTCAGGTCATGATGTCACAGTTCGTGAGCTCAAGCCCTGCATGGGGCTCTCTCTGCTGTTAGCACAGAGCCTGCTTCAGATCCTCTGTACCCCTCTTTTCTTCTCATCAAAATTAAGTAATACAGATCAAGTTGGCTCACAGAAAGCAAATTTTGGTAAGTAGAAGATGGTTATTTTTTTCTGTTTTGAGAGAGATAGAGAGCGTGCATGGGATGTGGTGTATGTGGGGGGCACAGAGGGAGAGGGAGAGAATCTCACACAGGCTCCACGCCCAGCTCAGAGGCCAATGCAGGGCTCAATCCCACAACTCCAAGACCATAACCTGAGCTGAAATCAAGAGTCAGATGCTTTAACCAACTGAGCCACAGGCACCCTGAAGATGTATTGGTTTTAAAAAGCACATTAAGACACTCAAGGTAATTTTTCACCAGCCCAACTATTTCAGATGACCTGTACTAATACAGGTGAAATTACAGTAGTCTGTTAATGAATAAATGACTGAGTAAATAGATAAATGATCTACTCAGAGAATACTATAAAAGAAACAATCATTACCTACCCAAAGTACACCTTTAATTTGCAGTTCACAAATGAGGTCGCCATGATTAAAATTTTTTTTTTTTTCAACGTTTTTTATTTATTTTTGGGACAGAGAGAAACAGAGCATGAACGGGGGAGGGGCAGAGAGAGAGGGAGACACAGCATCGGAAACAGGCTCCAGGCTCCGAGCCATCAGCCCAGAGCCTGACACGGGGCCCGAACTCACGGACTGCAAGATCGTGACCTGGCTGAAGTCGGACGCTTAACCGACTGCGCCACCCAGGCGCCCCGAGGTCGCCATGATTAATATACATTGCTTGATTTTTTTTTTTTTTTCCATAAAATTCACACAATCAGGATTCTAAACTAAGTAAATCTGAGAAAACTATCAAGTCTCTTGGCTGGCTAGCCAAAGACATGAAAAATATACATAATATACCAAGAAGGCAGCAACACCAGAACTCTCATAATGGGGTTTACCTAATCAGAAAACTTTTGTTCTAGCTTCTTCAGTAATAGGTTCTCTGCATCACAACTTCAAGGAATTTATCAGAGGACAGTTAACCATTGTTACCGCTAACTCCTCCTTGAAAACTAGACATAGAACCAGAAGATCACAGAGGAGGAAAAGAGACAGCAAGTGTACAAGAAGTATCAAAACCAATGATTTATATCAATACAGAACAAACTCACTAAACATGTGTAGATTAAGCAGTGATTTTAATAATCAGAACACTTTTAATTCAAACTAAGAATTTAATAAAAGCAACTAAAAATACTCACTCTAAGAGAGACCGCCTTACAACAAAAATCTTTCCATGTTCTGGAGGTGCTCTGAGATCTCTGGAAAGAGCAAAAAATTAAATTAAAATATAAATACAGCAAGTATTTTAAGAAATGTAAACCTATAGATAAGAGAAACTATAGCATATAACATTAATAAAGCAGCTTCTCACTATGACCCAGGCACCATGTTAAGGGTTTTATGCATGTTGTATCATTTAATGTTGAACAATGCAGTGAGCTATATACAGGCCTATCTGGTTAGGAAAGAAGAGATGTCACTAGAGCAGGGTTCAAAGGCTCTCCATAGCCCAGCCCCTATGGAAATGCATGCCTGCCATCACACAGACAGCCACTCTCTTCTCCTAACAGGCCTCTAGCCCTGCTCCAGTTCACACGCTGTTACTGGCCTGTCCTCTGAAACTGCACTGAAATTCATGATGCCAGGGCACCTGGGTGGCTTATTGGCTAAGCATCTGACTCTTGATTTCGGCTCCGGTCATGATCTCACATTTTGCGATTTTGAGCCCCACTTTGGGCGACCGCAGGCCCCACTTCAGGTGAGCATGAGCCCCACTTTGGGTAAAAACAAAACAAAAAAAACAGAAGCCCCACTTTGGATGAGCCCAGCTTCTCTCTCTCTGCCCCTTGCTCACTTGCGCCCTCTCTCCCTCAAAAAAAAAAAAAAAAAAAAAGGCATGGTCTTAAATGAGGTACATGTTTGTTATAATCCTCATATTAAGACGAAGAAACCCACCCTTCAAGTGGTTCATTTGCCCAAGACAACACAGAGCTAATAAAAAGTGGTATTAGCATGTGAATCCAGGCATTTTTCCTGCAGTCCATATTCTGACTACTGAGCATGATCAGAGTACATGTTTGCACTAAAAGAAACTAATATTCATACTTACTTAGCTCTATGGTTTTTATCTCCTTCAAGAACAGAAAAGCTCGTGATGGCACACCCACCACTGTCTAATGATGTCGATTTCTCAATGAGATTGTTCACAAAATCATCAAAGTGACTGCCAACTTCCTTCATAAAAAATGGCTTCAATTCCTAAATTTTAAAACAAATTAAAAAAAAAAAAAGAACACATTAGGAACTAGCACATGCTTGCAGGTTATTAACATTTTTCCAAAGGATTCTCTTAAACAGAGCTAGATCAAAAGAAATCCATGTTTCCAGACTCATTCTATGAAGCCAGCATTACTCTGATTCCCAAACCAGACAGAGACCCAGCAAAAAAAAACAACTACAGGCCAATATCCCCGATGAACATGGATGCAAAAATTCTCAACAAGATACTAGCAAATCAAATTCAACAACATATAAAAAGAATTATTCACCATGATCAAATAGAATTCATTCCTGGACTACAGGGCTGGTTCAATATTCACAAATCAATTAATGTGATACATCACATTAATAAAAGAAAGGATAAGAACCACATGATCCTGTCAATAGATGCAGAAAAAACATCTGACAAAATACAGCATCCTTTCTGAATAAGAACCCTCAAGAAAGTCGGGATAGAAGGAACATACTTAAACATCATAAAAACCATACATGAAAAGCCCACAGCTAATACCATCCTCAATGGGGAAAAACTGAGAGCTTTCCCCGAGATCACAAACACGACAGGGATGTCCATTCTCACCACTGGTGTTGAACATACTGTTGGAAGTTCTAGCATCAGCAATCAGACAACAAAAGGAAATCAAAGGCATCAAAATTGGCAAAGATGAAGTCAAGCTTTCACTTTTTGCAGATGACAGACATAATATTATACATGGAAAACCCGACAGACTCCACCAAAAGTCTGCTAGAACTGACACATGAATTCAGCAAAGTTGCAGGATACAAAATCAATGTACAGAAGTCAGTTGCATTTCTCTACACCAATAATGAAGCAACAGAAAGACAAAGAAACTGATCCCATTCACAACTGCACCAAGAATCATAAAATACCTAGGAATAAACCTAACCAAAGATGTAAAAGATCTGTATGCTGAAAACTATAGAAAGCTTATGAAGGAAATTAAAGAAGTACAAAGAAATGGAAAAACATTCCGTGCTTATGGATTGGAAGAATAAATATTGTTAAAATGTCAATGCTACCCAAAGCAATCTACACATTCAGGGCAATCCCAATCAAAATCGCACCAGCATTCTTCTCGAAGCTAAAACAAGCAATCCTAAAATTTGTATGGAACTACAAAAGACTCCGAATAGCCAAAGTAACATTGAAGACCAAAGCGGGAGGCATCACAATCCCAGACTTTAGCCTCTACTACAAAGTTGTAATCATCAAGACAGCATGGTATTGGCACAAAAACACATAGACCAATGGAATAGAACAGAGACTCCAGGATTGGACCCACAAATGTATGGCCAACTAATCTTTGACAAAGCAGGAAAGAATATCCAATGGAAAAAAGACAGCCTCTTTAGCAAATGGTGCTGGGAGAACTGGACAGCAACATGCAGAAGAATGAAACTAGACCACTTTCTTACACCATGCACAAAAATAAACTCAAAATGGATGACAGACCTAAATGTGAGACAGGAAACCATCAAAATCCTAGAGGAGAAAGCAGGAAAAAACCTCTCTGACCTCAGCCGCAGCAATTTCTTACTTGACACATCCCCAAAGGCAGGGGAATTAAAAGCAAAAATGAACAATTGGGACCTCATCAAGATAAAAAGCTTCTGCACTGCCGTAAAGGAAATAATCAACAAAACTACTGGCAACAATGAATGGGAAAAGATATTTGCAAATGACATATCGGTAAAGGGCTAGCTTATCCAAAATTTATGAAGAGCTCACCCAACTCACACCTGAAAAACAAATAACTAGGAAGAATGGCAGAAGACATGAATAATAGACACTTCTAAAAGAAGACATCCAGTGATGGCCAACAGGCACACAGTGATGCTCAACGCCACTCCCCTCATCAGGGAAATACAAATCAAAACCACATCGAGATATCACCACAGTCAGAGTGGCATAAAACTTAACAAATCAGGAGACTATAGATGCTGGAGAGATGTGGAGAACGTGGGAACCCCTTGCCAAGTTATGGGAATGCAAACCGGCGCAGCCGCCTGGGAAAAATGCGTGGAGGTTCCTCAAAAATTAAAATAGACTACCTTATGACCCAGCAACAGCACTGCTACGAATTTACCCGAGGGATACTGGAGTGTTGATGCATAGGGGCACTTGCACCTGTTTTAGCAGCATTTCAACAATACCAAAGTATGGAAAGAGTTCAAATGCTCAACTGACAAATGGATAAAGAAATTGTGGTTTATGCATACAACCTGAATACTATTTGGCAACGAGAAAGAATGAAATCCGGGTCGCTTGTAGGCAACGTTGGATGGAACGGGAGAGTATTATGCTGGTGAAATAAGTCAGGCAGAGAAAGACAGATAATCAGACGTTTTCACCCTATGAGGATCCTGAGAAACTTAACAGAAGACCATGGGGAGGGGAGGGAGGAAGGAGGCAAACCCTAAGAGACTCTAAATACTGAAAAACAAACCGAGGGTTGATGGGGTGGGGAGAGGGGAAAAGTAGGTGATGGGCATTGAGGAGGGTCTGTTGGGATGAGCAGTGGGTGTTGTATGGAAACCAATTTGACAATAAATTATTAAAAAAGAAAGAAAAGAAAAAGAAAATCACACCAGTGAGTCACAGAAGTAAAAACAGAAAACTGATTTCACAGTCGTTGCAGATGCAGAAATGGCTATTGAAAAAGCAACATGCTAATTTATGTCTTTAAAAATTTAACCCTTTTATGCATCAATCAAAATATCAAAGTAATCCCCAACTAAACTAACTTCTACAAAAAAGATAAAAAACAACAACAGAAATGATAAAAATGACAATCTATTTTCTTCCAGGCGGTGTGAAAATAACAAAGTAAAAAAAGTCAATATTATGGCATCATCATTATATAATTTAAGTCCCTTTTTCCTTCCTCAAGCCACCCCTACACCCAATAAAGACCCATCGTTTGTATTTTAGGTCATGTCATTTCCACAGGGTATCAACATTTATACGATAATATTTGTTACTACCTCCCAACCATATATTTACTCAACCGCATCAATACATACACACACTTTCATAACAAAATTGTATGTTTTGTTTTCAAACTATTTTTTTACTATCTGCTTTTTACATATCCACAGTTTTAAAAAGTATGAACCAAACATATTCTTCATAACGGGCCACTCATTATAGGTATTCAAATTGTAAATCTGAGCATTTTTAAATTGGTAGGACTATACACATAAAGGAAAAAAGTCTTACAATTGTTTCAAGAAATAAATGCTCATTCCCTTAACTAAACTGTTTAGTTGAGCCTAAAATATCACAAGTAGCATTTTCTAGGTTGTGTTATGCTTGACTAAGTCTTTTAAAAGTAAGCCTAAAATATCAATGTATCTAATGGAAGACATGAAGGTCTTCAAACTGAGACAGGAACTAAAGGGATCCCAGGAAATACTGCTTTTCTGTTCCTTTCCTGCTTTATTTCTCTTAGACTCATACTTGCTCTTACATACTACCTACAGATCAGATAATGTAAGTCTCCCATAAAGGTCAAGGAGTTATGATTTCTTTTTAAGTCTTGCAGCACAAGAGACAACACCTAAAAGTGACCAGGTGGGGTGGTCATGACGTGATTTTCTCCAGGACCCCTAACCAGGGCATAAGTGACTTAGAAAGGAATGTGTGTCTTTGTTCCAATGCCTGAGAAGACATGTCACCAAAATCCTCAATAAAAAACCTGACTCAAGGAAAGACACAAGTCACCTCTTTCCAAGTTTCCCAGACACTCCTTTATCTTCTCACTCTGGTGTTCAATAAACTCTGCCTCCTTACCTCTCTCAGTGGGTGTTGATTTATCTGTATCAGCCAGTGACCCTCCTTGGTTGGTCCTGTGGGAATTTCTCTGGGTCTCAGACTCCAGTCCGCTTCCAGACAAAACTGCTCCCCGCAATTCCTCTTGGGTCCTGAGCAGTGAGATTATAATAAAAATCAGCTGCCACAAGACAGCAGACAGAGATGCCAAATACAAGATATACATGATATAAACAATACACAGTGGGACTACCCAAGTGTCACCTGGAGAATATACAGGAACATCAGCAAAGAAAGCAGTAGGAGATGACTGGAAGTGTCTTTTGAACTGGGAGCTGAGCTGAAACTCAAAAATAAAAATAAAATAAAATAAAAAGGAAAGTGCCAGAAGGAGACGATGTGTGATGAAATGGAGAGAGATAGGAAAGTATGAGCTAAAAAACAGCAGAAGTGAACCAATAATAGGTTGCTTTTAAAATATTATTAAGGACCTGTTCCTGGAAGAAAGAATAAAATATAGAATTATTTTTCATATGAAGGTTACCTCATATTTTATTTTAGTTCTTTGCCTGTTCCATTTTCAATTATATGTCCATCCTCATATTTTGAAATTTTCAATAGAATGCTTCCCTCAACAAACAAAACAAACCCAAAAAAAAAGTGGCAAACAAAAAAGGTGCTCTCATTTAATCTCAGAGTTGGACTGATTAATAAAATTTTTTCCAGCCTGCCTGAAAAATGTTGTCCCATGCAGTTCCAGGCACTAGCTACAATGAACAAAACCAAGTCCCTGTCTTCATGGAACTTAAATTCCAACCAGGGTAGACAGGACATAACAGAATGCAGGCCAGGTGTTTGGGAAAGAAATAATGCAAAGGTACTGGGGAGCTGGGAGGCAGGGAAGGTGTTTTTCTTTTTTCACAGAGGTCAAGGAAATTCTCACCAAGATAGTAGTACACTGAGAAGATGAAGAAGGTAAGAGGACAAGTTAGTGAGAGTATCTGTGGGAAAAGTATCAGAAGAAAAAAAGGATCATTGCAAAAAACCCCGGAAATTCTGAGCTAATGTGAGAAATATTAAGGAAGCACAGCTGAAGAGGAGTGATAAGAGTTGAGGTCAGAAAGAAGGAGTGGGTGGGGCTGGCTCAGATGGCTGAGCACGTGACTCTGATCTCAGGGTCATGAGT